CTTTTCTATAGACCCAATACAAAGAAAACAGGTAAACTAAGTAAAGCATTACAATATATTTTAGCTCCAAAAATCTTGAATTGTTTTACTAAAGTAAATGACTGAATAAATGGGCAAAAACATACACCCACACCCTACCCCAATGGTAGATCTAAAAAAAAAAAAGTTTAAAAACCTATTTGTATGTCATTAAGAATAATAATCTATTCCCCAAATATCGGTGTAGACTCACAATCATCCAGGACATGGCAAACCCAATTTATAATCCTCAAGCAAAACAACTTTGATGGCAGTAACAGCAGCAAGTCATTTTTGTACTTGTTTACTGGTTTACAGAGCTCAGTCAGGATTCTGGCCTGCCGTTTGGCAGCATAGAGCTTCAGCTACTTTATTTTAGGAAGTGGCTAGGCAAGTTCTTAAAGTGCTTCGACTCATGCTGGAGGTTCCACTCAACATTTTCATTATTCTGTCTGAAGAAGATTCTAGTTTGACGTTACAAAGCACGTTACCATCTACTGAGTTTTCAATTTAATTGTCCAGAAAATCTGAACCACTGCATAGTGTTCCCATGCCACGCTTGACTGTGGGAATGGTGTTCTTCGGTCATATCGAACATCTTTCTTTACCAGTTATGGTAAGTCCATCTGATGTCAAGGACCCCAGTTTTGGTCTCATGAAACCTCAAGCGTTTCCTCCCAAGCTTCTCTGACTTATTAGAGCTCACTGTTAAACTTAGGACTGGACAAGTCATTTTATGCAAGAATTCAGTTGGTCTCCTTGATGCCTGTGATCCCAACTAACTTCAGGTCATTAACAAGCCAATCCTGTAAAGTTGTGAGCTGATCCCTGACCTTTCTCATGACTACCCTCACCTGATGAGGCAAGATGGAGGTAATTTTATACACCCTAACCCTAACACAAGATTTGTTGTGTGTGCCACTAAACATAGATACAAACAAAATGAACACACCAAAAACATTTGGCATTTTTATGATAAAATGTGTGATTTCTTGTAGGAATAACCAAAACGTCCGTTGGCCAATGTTTATTAGAATTAGCTGGCTGTTTATTCAGAGTGAAAATCCACAGGTTAAGCAGCAGGAAAGGTCCTGCCTCAGACAGTAACAAGTGACGTCATCTTTAACTTGTGATTTGAGGCTGTGTTTGTTCTTGTCAATCAGGAGTCAAAGGCCCAGAGATTCCCAGTGTAATACATTTACAACTCTTCAACAAGGCATGTGTTAAATATTCCCCCTTTAAAGTGCATTCTGCATAGTTATTACGGTATACGTAAGTTATGAGTATGAATTCACAAACCTCTCTTCAAAACCTTTTCCAACTGAATGTTCAGTTTTGAAGTTTAATGACAACTATATAGTGCACAAAAGAGGGAATCCACACCAGTTAAAACCTGTGGGTTGAGATGGTTCTTGGGCTTGGATGTGTGTATCATTGACAACCTGTTACTACAACAGTTCCACCTCCTGACAAGATGAGATCACGTGCTGGTGTCTGATAGGGTGTCCAACATCATTTCGCTCTCGTACATGTCACTACACTCCAGGGTTAATGAGAGCCGGAGGGGCGTCTCCAGCATCATCTTGTCCTGATTGGACACTGGAGTTTCCAGTGGCGTCACGCTCGTCTCTTCCAGCCTCGACTCAGCTAGAAGTTCACTAGACTCTGACGTGTTTAACATCTTCATCAGTGCTGGAGTGTTCAAGCTGCCTCGCACCTTGTCAGTGATGTCCGTGCCTTAGAGAAAATGCAGAAGAACAGATTTCCTTGAACATAAAGACCATAAAGTATAAATACAGAAAAATGGTTATTGCATTCTTGCTGCAGGTGTTGTGACTCCGTTTCCCAAGTAAGAATGTTGTTGCAGCCAAACAACTTGTAGCACTAATACCTACATTTGCTAATGCAGGGATAAAATACCCAAACAACACTATGATTTATGTCAAAAACAGGTCAAACCTGCAGTAATTAGGTGTATTAGTATATTAATATTGAAACACCTGACATTCTGTGGCATGTTGAGTAATTGTTTAATGAAAAAAGGGCTTCTTGTGAGCATTTCCTACATACAGGCAGAGATGGGCGCTTTAAATAAAACTGCTGTAGCAGCAGGAGTCACAGAATGAGTTTACCTCGTATTATGTGAAACAGATCAAACAAGTCAAACTACRTCTTTTTAGAGTTTGAAGTAAAAAAAACTGACTCTTAACGTGGTCATTTCAAAGTTGATGCATGCTTTTAGCAAGAAAAGTATTTGTTCAGATGCAGTGCAAGGTCATGAATAAAAAAATAAATCACAGAAAGTTTAAATATGAATAGAGTCCCACTGACTTAAAGGGATCCACGATTAGTTGTAACATTAAACTTTATTTGATAAACATATATTTTAACTGTAAAATACAGACTGTAAAAATACTTTTAGTTTAAAAATGATAAAAACTGAACATCCTACAGTATTTTTACAGTCTTTATTTTACAGTTAAAGTATATGTTTATCAAATAAAGTCTAATGTTAAAAGTGATTGGGGATCCCTTTAAGAAACCTGCAGCTTGTTGGAAGCTGCATGTCAGCAGTAGTCCAACAGTTGTTAATCTTTTGGGAGTCAGTGAGGAGTGACGTGTCTRAACATGTCTGCGCAGAGGGAGGAGAGGTGGGGGTGTCACTGCTCCCTCTCCCTTCTGTTTGTCTTCTGAATGAGCCGAGGTGATCAGAACATACATCATACACACAACCTGGGGCGTCTTCTGTATGATTTCTTTCATATGTGCTTCACCTCACGTGACTCATACTGTCAACAGTTTTTTATACTGTCATCATATTTTGATACTGCAGTATAACAAAATACCTTCACACAACCCAAGCCCAGTATCTATCACACCAACCTCATTAGAACCACCAACACACTAAACAAAAAACATTTCCTTCAAATTTCAAATTATACAAAAGGTGGGTWTATTACAACAGTAAAAACACCAGCATTGGGGGCCTTAGGATCRCATCTCTGCTTTTTGCGGATGATGTGGTCCTGTTGGCTTTATCGGAACGAGATCTGCAGCTCTCGCTGGAGCGGTTCGCGGCCGAGTGCGAAGCGGCCGGGATGAGGCTCAGTGCCTCCAAATCCGAGGCCATGGTCTTGAGCCGGAAAAGGGTAGAGTGCCTTCTCCGGGTCAGGGGAGGGTCGTCCTGCCTCAAGTGGAGGAGTTTAAGTATCTGGGGATCTTGTTCACGAATGGGGGAAGAAGGGAGCGGGAGATCGACAGGCGGATTGGCGCAGCGTCTGCTGTAAAGCGGGCGCTGTACCGGTCCGTCGTGGTGAAGAGAGAGCTGAGTCAGAAAACGAAGCTCTCGATTTACCGGTCGATCTACGTTCCTACCCTCATCTATGGTCATGAGCTTTGGGTCATGACCGAAAGAACGAGGTCCCTGATACAAGCGTCTGAAATGGGTTTCCTCCGCAGGGTGGCTGGGCTCTCCCTTAGAGATAGGGTGAGAAGCTCGGTCATCCAGGAGGGACTCAGAGTAGAGCCGCTGCTCCTCCACGTCGAGAGGAGCCAGTTGAGGTGGCTCGGGCATCTGGTAAGGATGCCTCCTGGACGCCTCCCTGGTGAGGTGTTCCGGGCACGTCCCACCGGGAGGAGGTCCCGAGGAAGACCCAGGACACGCTGGAGGGACTATGTCTCTCGGCTGGCCTGGGAACACCTTGGAGTTCCCCCGGAGGAGCTGGAAGAAGTGGCTGGGGAGAGGGAGGTCTGGGCCTCCYTTCTGAAGCTGCTGCCCCCGCAACCCGACCCCGGATAGGTGGAAGAAAATGGATGGATGGATGGACGTTGTTAAATAGCAAAGTAAGCTACGACCTAAGAGTTACTTAATCTTTATAAAATTCTGCCCCCAACAAGTTTAGATTTTCCAAAAAACCCAATTTAGATCCTAGTTCCTCTACTAAGAAACWAAGTTAGGGTCAATGAGTTGCTTAAACTGAGCTGTTGTCACCTCTAGACACAAGCAAACTCAACTACTATTTCAGCTGAAACATGAAAAGGTTTCATAGCTTTTAAGTCTGTACAAACAATCAACAAAAAGTGATTAAATTAGTAAAAAATTATGTACAATTTCATAATAATTCCAAAATAAAACTAACCTATGTAGGCGTCTGTGTCACCAATGTACATTTCAATGCAATGACCGAGCATCGTCACAGAGAAAGTGTCATCCCTTTTCAGTCCAAGAGCCTGTCACAAAAACAAACAAAACAAAACACATCACACAAYTCAGGTATAAATATATAAAAAAAACAAGAAATAAAAATGTCAAATGAACAACTAAAAGACTAAAACTTGTGAGAATAATTAAAAACATGAAACATGGGATTTTAACAAACTGTTTTGTGTTTTGAGAAATATTGATTTTATTTTTGTATGTTTATTTCTCCAGTCAGAGAATGCAGTTGCTGTGGTTTTATGTGGCTGCTGCTTTTTCTGATAGCAATGAAAAAACATCTCCATGAGCAGTTCAACCAAAATGACAAGCACAGGGCAAAACGTATTAGCTTTGAGGGAAACTGAGAAATAATACKCCATAAACTCACTGTGTGAAAATAGTCAATAGCACTTTCAAAGTCTCCCATGAGGCTGTGCACGTAGCCTATAGCAGAGTAAGTGGAGGCGTGCTGTGGGATCAGCACCAGTGCTTGACGGTGGTACTCCAGAGCCCGCTCGTACTTTCTAGATTTAAAAACGACAAAGAAAATGTTGTTCATTCATGGTCTTTGTTAAATTTAATATGAAAATGGTTGCAGATATGTATCAAAATGCATCATATCAGGAGAGCAGTCATACCTAAATGAAGTATTAATTTCTCTGTTTATTGATAAAATTACAATATAAACAAAATGTCTTTGTAAGCACCATGGTCACTAAATGTTTAAGTACATGATGAGTTGCAGTGTTTGTCTTTTATATATTTTCAAAATACTAAAAATGGAAAACAATTTTCTAAGTGATAAATAGATCAATTTACTTTCACTCAATGGAACAATGAGCCAGCAG